AGTCGCGAATAGCGAATAGTCCCGAATAGTGCGAATAGTCTTGAATCGTGCGAATAGTGGCGAACAGTCGCTAAAAGTGGCGAGTAGTGACGAATAATCGTCAATAGTCACCGCTTTAGGTCTGATATCCTGCGTTAATTAATTATCCAAATAAGCAACAGAATTTCAGTGAATTTATTACCTTTTCTTCTCCGGACTCAGGCTAGAAGGCTGTCCATTGCCGACATTAAAAAAACAGAAAACACAAGGATAACCTAATAGAGACATATTTACGCTTTTGCAGCGGTTAAAACAAAAGAAATTACATTTAGAAACACCTTTTTGTCCTGATAAGCGTCTGTACTTTTTAGCGGGAAAATCCCATCCTTAGTTGCTTCGAGGTTGACTGCGAGATACTGGGTACCCTATTTGCCACTATTCGCCACTATTCCAGACTGTTCGCCACTATTCGCACTATTCGTACTATTCGCTATTCGCTATTAATATTCGGGACTATTCGTTGTTCGCTATTCGCGACTATTCGCTATTCGCTATTCGGGTTTTCCAGACACGCATATGCAAGCCACCGTAATGGTGATTGCCGTCGGCGAAATGTTTATTTGCTCAAAAATTGCGGCCAAATCTTTCGGAGATGGAAGTCAAGACATTTGTAAGGATACAGAAAGTAATTTGGGACCAGTTGCTGGCTTGTAAGGCTGAAATTATCCAGAAGTAAGCTTTTTTTAACTTGAACGTAACGAAGACGGTGAACAAATTTAATAAATTATGGGCTCTTCTCACTGTCTCGTTCTGTTTTTTGTTTCGTTCTCTTTTGGAGTCCACCGAACTCATTTTTTCGTCTAAATAACCTGAGAAAAGTTCGAAAAAGATGTTTCTCTTCAATTTTCAGTTCTCAAGCAATAATCCTGGATTTTTTTGACCGAAAGGTCGGTTCGTGCTATGTTCGTGTGTTTCGGTGGCTATGGGCGACCGTCGCTTCCTTTGTTGACTCAAGCAATGAAGCGAGGT